GTACTTCTGCAGCTGCAGCAGGTAGGCGTCGGCGGCGGGCACGGCGCCCCAGCTCACCTCCAGCGAGGCCGTGTTGGCGCGCACGAGCTGCACGCGGCCCGGCGCCGCCGGCCGCTCTGCGGGGGGACAGGACACGGGTGGCACCGGGGACACTGGTGGCACCGGGGACACCGGCACCCATGGGGCACCGGCTGTATTCAGGGACATGGGTGGCACCAGGGACACCGGCACCCATGGGGCACCGGCGCCACCGGCCGCTCTGCGGGGACACGGGGACACGGGTGGCACCGGGGACACGGGGACATGGGTGGCACCGAGGACACCAGCACCCATGGGACACTGGCGCCGCTGGACGCTCTGCGGGGACATGGGGACATGGGTGGCACCGGGGACACCAGCACCCATGGGACACTGGTGCCGCCGGCCGCTCTGCAGGGACACGGGGACACGGGGACACGGGTGGCACCGGGGACACCGGCACCCATGGGGCACCGGCTGTATTCAGGGACATGGGTGGCACCGGGGACACCAGCACCCATGGGACACTGGCGCCGCTGGACGCTCTGCGGGGACACGGGGACACGGGTGGCACCGGGGACATGGGTGGCACCAGGGACACCGGCACCCATGGGGCACCGGTGCTGCCGGACGCTCTGCGGGGACACGGGGACATGGGTGGCACCGGGGACACCGGCACCCATGGGGCACCGGTGCTGCCGGCCACTCTGCAGGGACACGGGGACATGGGGACACAGGTGGCACCGGGGACACCGGCACCCATGGGGCACCGGCTGTATTCAGGGACATGGGTGGCACCGGGGACACGGGGACACGGGTGGCACCGGGGACATGGGTGGCACTGGGGGACATGGGTGGCACCGGGGACACCGGCACCCATGGGACCCTGGCACCACCGGCCACTCTGCAGGGACACAGGGACATGGGTGGCACCGGGGACACGGGGGACATGGGTGGCACTGGGGGACATGGGTGGCACCGGGGACACCAGCACCCATGGGGCACTGGCGCCGCCGGCCGCTCTGCGGGGACACGGGGACACGGGTGGCACCGGGGACACGGGGGACATGGGTGGCACCGGGGACACCAGCACCCATGGGGCACCGGCGCCGCCAGCCGCTCTGCGGGGGAACAGGACACGGGTGGCACCGGGGGACACGGGGACATGGGTGGCACCGGGGACATGGGTTGCACATGGGGGGACACGGGGGACAGGGACCCCATGGGGCACCGGCGCCGCCGGCCGCTCTGCGGGGACACGGGGACACGGGTGGCACCGGGGACATGGGTGGCACTGGGGACACCGGCACCCATGGGACCCTGGCACCACCGGCCACTCTGCAGGGACACGGGGACACGGGTGGCACCGGGGACACGGGGGACACGGGTGGCACTGGGGGACATGGGGACATGGGTGGCACCGAGGACACCAGCACCCATGGGACCCTGGCGCCGCTGGACGCTCTGCGGGGACACGGGGACACGGGTGGCACCAGGGACATGGGGACATGGGTGGCACCGGGGACACCAGCACCCATGGTGCACCGTCTGTATACGGGGACATGGGTGGCACCGGGGACATGGGTGGCACCGGGGGACACCCGCACCCATGGGGCACCGGCGCCGCCGGACGCTCTGCGGGGACACGGGGACATGGGTGGCACCGGGGACACGGGTGGCACCAGGGACACCAGCACCCATGGGGCACCGGCTGTATTCAGGGACATGGGTGGCACCAGGGACACCAGCACCCATGGGGCACCAGCTGTATGCGGGGACATGGGTGGCACCGGGGACACCGGCACCCATGGGACACTGGCGCCGCCGGCCGCTCTGCGGGGACACGGGGGACATGGGTGGCACCGGGGACATGGGTGGCACTGGGGGACATGGGTGGCACCAGGGACACCAGCACCCATGGGGCACCGGCTGTATTCAGGGACATGGGTGGCACCGGGGACACCAGCACCCATGGGGCACCGGCTGTATTCAGGGACATGGGTGGCACCGGGGGACACCCGCACCCATGGGGCACCAGCGCCGCCAGCCGCTCTGCGGGGACACGGGGACATGGGTGGCACCGGGGACACCGGCACCCATGGGGCACTGGCGCCGCCGGCCGCTCTGCGGGGACACGGGGACATGGGTGGCACCGGGGACACCAGCACCCATGGGACCCCGGCGCCGCCGGCCGCTCTGCGGGGGTACAGGGACATGGGTGGCACCGGGGGGCACGGGGGGTCCCAGCGCTGCCCCATGGCTCCGTGGGGCAGGCCAGGACCCTGTGGGGCACCGGGGGACACCCCGAGGTGCCCATGGAGCCAAAGGGGCACACTGAGGGGCCAGGGGCCACCCCGAGGTGCCTATGGGACACTATGAGGTGCCCATGGAGCCAAAGGGCCACCAGCAGGTGCCCATGGCCCCAAGGTGCCAGGGGCCACCAAGATGTCCCAAGAGGACACCAAGAGGTGCCCATGGCCCTGAGGTGCCAGGACACACCAAGATGTCCCAAGATGACACCAAGAGGTGCCCATGGCCCTGAGGTGCCAGGGACCACCAAGAGGTGCCCATGGACCCAAAGGGCCACCAAGAGG